CTTGCCCAGGGCTTGAGTGGGTCAGGATCAGCCCTTCTGTCAGAGGACTGGCCCGCCCGGTGTGGGTGGAAGGCCACTGGCCACAGTAAGGTGTTCAGGCGCTCTTAATGGTCCATCAGGCCCTGCCTGTGAGGTAAATTAGGCTTAGAATGTGTAACCCAGACAGTTGCCAGGGCAGAATGGGAATTCCTACTTTAGCCCCTATACCACAGTGGCTAGAATAGTAACTCATGAGTCCTCCCTCAAAGGCCAAAACAGCAATGGAAAGGGCCCTGTCTGTTCCTCCTTTTTACTGACAGAAACCAAGCCTGTTGTAACCAAGCCTAGCGATAGCCACTGAGGGCATCCATTTCTTAAAGCTACAGGCACTCTTTTTATCATTTTCAGGTTTTTTTTAAAAAACTATATTTTTTAGATTTCATATTTTTCTGCAAATCTGTGCCCCCCCCCCGTTTGTAGAAAGATCTGTCTTGTCCATTCATAGGTCCAATCTCCGCGTTTAAGTATCTTCAGATTTGGCAGACTTGGTTATTAGAATATAGATTAATCACTGACAAAATACCTTGTGAGTTAGTGGAATTATTTAGTTATAACTGACTGAAGTGCTTCCTGTAGAAAATTATAGCAAGCCCAGTGATAGTGAATTAAAAAGACAGGTACATTGTGAGGGGTAGAAACTAGTGACTTAGGGAGCCATCAGCATAAAAAGTGATGATAGAAGTCTTGAGAATGAAGTGGATCCCACTAGTATAAGGAGAATAGAAGCATAAAAAATGCTAAAAACAGAAGCCATCCGGGGGATGTTTGTGCAAAATTTTTAGGTAGGCAGTTTGAAAGACTCAAGAGGATAGTGGTCACAAAGCTACTACCAAAAATAGGATCTGTTTACCTATTCCAGTCAAATATGGAATACCTTTCCACATGGAGCAAGTGGATGCCAGGAAACCCATCAGCAGACACTATGGTGCCCTAAAGCATTACTTTGGGAGATCGCTGGTCTGTATATTCTGCATCTCATCAAAACAGAGTTTTGTGTGTGTGTATGTGTGTGTCATATTCATGTCAGGGATTTTAGTATGAAATGTCTCTTGCCTTGAAAACCCTATGGGGTCTCCACAAGTCTGCTTTGACTTGACGGGGGGGGAAAGAGAAACTTGTTAGATTCTAAATACTATTTTTCTTCCATAATGTAATTAGTAAATCACTGTTTGCAGGATGTGAATCAATAGACTGGTGCTATTGGCATACTATCCTGCAAGCTTAGTGGAATCTGAATTGTGCTATGCTGCACATTTGGTGCCTCTACTTCAAAAACCAGCCCCCCAGACCACCAGATACCAATGGATTGATTGACTGTAATGGTCCCCATAGGGTACAATGGAGCTAAAAGCCCTTGGGATTCCCGAAAAACACTGAATCCAAATACCATATCAATATTGGTATTTGGGAATATTGGGAACTACCAATTTTTTTTAGTTCTACATAACCGAACCTGCAAAATACTGGCTTTTTTTGCACGTCCCTAATAGTAGACTCTGTCAAAGTTGTTTTTAAAAAGGTATGTCAAATGATATCTTTTGGGGCAGCACTAACCAGAAGGAAATATAATACACGTGATATAGAGCTGTTCAGTTTCAAAATTTTGGAATGAAGTATGTGTAGGAATTAATTTGGTTTTCAAGGTACATCTAGAAATGACAGCACTGACAGAAATTCTAGACTGTATTTTGGATGTGTGAACTCTTGAAAATGAGAAAGTTGTCAGAATTAGACACGAATCATTGATTTAAAAGAAGATAGTTTTATGGAATTGGAAGTCTAAGAAAAAAATGTGGCATAGACAAGGGAAATATGGGAGCATATCCTAAAAAGAAAGGCAGGGGGGATATTCTCTGGAGAACTTGGTGTAGGAGCACATGCTATGTACATAGGCCAGTGATGATAGAAAATTACATAAAAATTGTAAAATAACTGTGTTATGCAAAGTAGCCTTCAAAAGTAGCTTATTGATTGTTTTTACTTGAATGCTGATGGATATTGGCAAGAAAACGAAATGTTCGCGCTGAGGGTCTGAATCATGCATGCAACGTATTTGTGGCTGAAATATAACTGCATGCAGGCTGTTTTTTATAGCAAACCTTTCATGAGACACGGTTTCACGCAGAATTGTAGAATTTTCCTCCTCGCCTTTGTGAACCTCCTTTCACATGCTTTTTAGAAGCTCTCTGCAGTTGGACTTGGTATGTGAGACTATCCTTCTGACAGTCACAGCAGTGTCTATGAAGATGGTTAATTAATTCATTGTTTGATGTTAGGGCTAAGTGATATTTAACTTTTTGCAAAATGCAAACACCTACTGTATAATCAGTATATTTAAAACAATTATACTTTTCCATTAAAGTTAATAATATTCACATTAACCTGTGATGGTCTGAATCAATATTGCAGATTGGAATTCATGTCTCCTGGACAGCTTTTTCTAAATATTGATTTAATTGTCATTTGTATAAGGTAAGAAACAAATTACATGCCTTACTGATATCATTAATATGGCCCCTTTGATCTGCCGAATCTATCACTTCATGTAGTATATGACATTAAATTTAAAAAGTATTGAAAATATTTTGAAATACAATGGCCTAGTGTACTAGATTTGCTAGACTGCCATGAGACACACCTTGGTTTCCCCCCAACTACTTTACAGTCAGAATTGGATCAGTAACACAAGTTTGCTGCCCACCCCCCCGATAACCAATGGTCTTATACTTCATGTAGTACAATTATCTTGGCTTATATGGGTGACAGTTATTGTGAAGTACTGGAATTAGCTGTAATTGATGTTCCTCATATTGGGGTCCAGGGACCCCTGGGGGTTTGCAAGTGTATTCCAGAGGGTCTGCGTGTACTGTTGTAAGTAAGGAGCATGAACACCTCTTTTGTCCATTTGGCTAACATGACAACAGAGCCCTCTCTGTTCTCTAGGAACAGCGTAGGGACTCTCCACCTCAGAAGAAAGATAACAGAATCAGTGTTCACTGTTTTAAAAGGTGGGTGCTCATAGAACTACCACCAGCCACAGTCACATAATTTCTGGATCATCTCAGAGAATATGCTGATTTGTTGCCAGGATCCAGTATTTTATCCTTAGGAGCTAATTGGTTGAGTTGCATCAATGATGTATAGCCCTACTTATAGTGTTAGTCACTGTTGTTACTTCAGATACAAAACTGAACTGGTTTTCACTGTATTTCTGAAGCAAAAAAAAAAAAAAGACCGTCAAGATCATATGAGCAGGGGTCATTTCCTGCAGGAGTGGAGCTCGGGCAGTAAAGAGCCCAGGGGACAGGCACATGCAACAAGCCCTGCCCCCTGCTCCCAGCAGCCCCGGGCCATGAGGAGCACAAGGATCTGTGTGTGTCCCCCCCCCATAGCTAGCAATTCAAAACAGTCCAGTGGAGCCTGAGCAGTGGGTGTTGCCTTCTGACACACTTCTGGTGATACCAGGGTGTGTGGCATATGCAAATAAGTTATTCTAATGAGTTATGCTAATGAGCTCCTGCACCTCTTTTTCTACGAAATGACCCCTGCATATGAGATATCAGTTGTCCACAGACAATAATAGCCAACCACATTTGCCTTTTGAATAATAGCAGGTTTTGAGCAACACTGGTCTTCTCCTGTTTGTGTGAGTGGCTCTGAAAGTTCTTCTAAGATCCTTTTAAACCCCTATTTAGCTGGATCCAACAAAAGGTTATTAAGCAAAAGATTGTTTATTTTTTAAATTTAATTGCTTTTGAAGTTAACATTACTCTCTCTTAGGGGCCAGGCCAAAACCTTTCTTTTTAACTATGTTTTTAACCAAAAGGTTTTATCTTTTTAGCTGTCTTTAGTTCTTGCCTCTAGCCTGAGGACTTGTTTTATGGATGTTTTTCAGCAGCTCAATGGTTGTTTAATGCTGTTTTTATTATCATGGGTTGTATTTTTAACATTGTTAACTAATGTCATTTAAATAAACAAATTTTTAAAAATTAAACAATACAGAAGCTTTTTGCTGTGTCTAGAAGGATTTTTGTACCAATCAGAAAGACACTGTGACACTTGGTGACTGCCAGAGAGGACTTAAGTTTCCATGTAAATTTTTAAATAAAAAAGAGGGTCCCCAGTTTACTGAAGTTGGAGAACTGCTTCTCTAAGTCATAAATTGTTTTTGTAGGGGGTGGGTACATTTAGAAAGAGAAAGCACACAATCTATATTAGATGTATTTGGTATTTGGCTTTAGAGCACCACCATTTTATTGTGAATAATATGAAAACTTGGCTATCATTTCTCATCTTGCAGCATAATCCTGCACATGTTTGTCCAGAAATAACTCCTACTGAATTTAGTGAGATGTTCCTTGTAGCTGTTTTTAGGATTGCACATCAAATTTGAATAAAGGCAATAGTAATAACAAGACAAATTGTGAGATATTAGTATCTTAAAAGATAAATTTATGTGGTACTATGCCAGTATATTTTCTGTTTTCCTGTATGATAAATGGCATTTTGAAGGCTTGTTATTAAATTGAATTCTATTTTTAAAATTAGCATGTTCATTCATGGTCTCATTTGTAAAATCATAATCAAAATAATTTTATCACTAGATAGGGAAGTGATATCACAGCACTGCATTATGCTCTAGGAATCCCCCACATTTCTATAGTCTTTACCATAGACATTTGGGAAATCTGTAGAGCATTGTGATATGCCAATTTTTGTCATCCCACCCCCCAGACTACTCCTGCTGCTCAAGGGAAGGGCAGCAGGAGCATGAACAGTTGGGTAGGAGCAGCCCTGCATTTTGACATTATAAGAATGCTGCATACTTTGCAAGAATTCAGAATTCATGTCTAAAAACTGTAGTATTATTTTAATAATATTTGTTTGGGTTTATTGAATACACAGATAATTTAAGTATTTGTGAATGCTAAGAAATTAAATGATTTCTTCCCAGGTAAAAGTGACCCATTTTGTGTAGTTGAGCTGAACAACGATAGACTGTTGACACACACTGTATACAAGAACCTTAACCCAGAATGGAATAAGATCTTCACATTGTAAGTATAAATTTTATGTGTGTGTTGTTTTTTAAAATTTAATATAGACCTGGTTAATCCATCCAAAATTAAAAAGACAGGTGAAGTATTCTGGTTTCTTAAGCAGAGTAACGTATTTCAGTGTAACAAAAAATGTGAAATATTTTGATGGTTGAAGATACATAACTTTTTAAGACTCATGTTCCAAATTGCAATGTTCTTTGAGGGTAGTTTAGATCACTGTTTTACAGCTACTGGAGCAGTGGATTTATTGACTCTTCCTAATTCCAGTTTCCAAGACTTTAAAAAAATGTTTCTGGTAACCCTAACTAGACACATTCCTGGCTTCCTCTCAGGCTGCTACTGAGGCATTGGCTGGGACAAGTACACACAAGTACAATCATGTGATCTGATGCACCTGATTTTTAGATTTACCTGTAGGAAAGGGAACCCACTATTATTAGACTCAAAATGGTGCCAGTCATCTTTCATCATAAGCTAGTCAGGCACCATGTTGAAGAATAGGACAGGGCAGGGTTTCTCAATAGCTTTTTGCTAACCCTCCCATATGCCCATAGTTAAATTTCATTTTAATTAAAAAGTATACAATTAAAAGACACTGCTAGGGTACAGGAGTTTTGTTTCCAATACCTCAACTTTTTGATAACTACCTGAGGAAATATTACATCTGCTTTTAAGTCTTAGTATGCAAATATTAATTTTATTTATTTATTTATAAGTTCAATTTATAACCCGCCCTCCCCGCGAAGCGGGCTCAGGGCGGCTCACAGTCACAGTAAGCTAAGAATTGCTGCTATTGCTGTGCTGTCAGCGTGCATGACTCTTCACAGATAAGAAGAAGACACATCTGTGCCCCAAGAAGCTTACATTCAAATATTTGACATTAGAGAGAGATTTTAAAAAGGTGGGTGGTGTGGGTGGTCATGGTGGTGATTAACAAGGAAAGAATATGTTTAATTTAGGAAGCATGTGCTTGGGGATGGGAAAAGGTGGGTTTTGAGGAGGGATGGATGGATAGATAGCATCAGGTCAAAGAACAGAGGACTTGTGTACAGTGAAGGATGCATCAGGATATGACAGCTAAGAGAGAGGGGGCAAGGCCATGAAAGGTTTGAGGTCAGAACACAAGGAGTTTGTGCTCAATCTGGGTTCAGACAGGAGGCCACAGTAGGATTAGAATGGGTGTTATGTGGTCAGAAGTTTTTTTTTTTTTAAGGTGAGTGGTTTTGGTGGCAGAATGCTATATTAGAGCTGACTAGAAGAGGGTGCAGCACTCAAGATGCAATATTTATTTATTATTCAACTTATACCCTGCCCTCCCCACAAAGCAAGCTCAGGGTGGCTTACATTCATGGTTGACTCTGGCAATGCTGTGGATATAGTGTATCTAGATTTCAGTAAAGCATTTGACAAAGTTTCTCATGATATCCTTGAGGATAAGCTGGTTAAGTGTGGACTGGATGGTGCAACCGTTGGATGCATTCATGGTTGGTTGAAAAATCGTACCCAACGAGTGCTTGTAAATGGCTCAGCGTCTACGTGGAGGGAAGTCTTGACTGGAGTGCCGTAGGGCTCGGGCCTGGGCCTGGTGTTGTTCAGTGTTTTTATAAATGACCTGGAGTAAGACATAGGATGCTTATCAAATTTGCAGATGACACGCTGGGTGGGATTGCTAATTCTGAAGAAGACAGAGTCAGGATTCAGAATGATCTAGATAGGCTGAGTGGGCTGAGACAAATAAAATGAATTTCAATAGAGATAAGTGCAAAGCCTTACACTTAGGTACAAAAAATCAAAGGCACGGATATAGAATGGGAGGGACTTGGCTTGACACTAGTACATGTGAAAAGGATCTAGGTGTTCTGGTTGATCACAAGCTAAACTTGAGCCTGCAGTGCAATGTGACTGCAAAGAAAGCTAATGCAGTCTTAGGATGCATTAACAGAAGCATTGTTTCCAGATCATGGGAGGTGGTAGTTCCACTTTTTTCTGCTATGATCATGCCTCACCTGGAGTACTGTGTCCAGTTTTGGGCACCACATTTTAGGAAGGATGTTGACAAGCTTGAGCATGTCCAGAAGAGGACAACCAGGATGGTGAGAGGGTTGGAATCCAAGTCTTATGAGGAAAGGCTGAAAGAGTTGGGTATGTTTAGCCTGGGAAAGAGAAGGCTTAGAGGGGACATGATTGCAGTTTTCAAGTATTTGAAGGGCTGTCATGTAGAAGATGGAGCAGATCTATTCTCTCTTGCTCCGGATTGCAAGACTAGATCTAATGGGTAGAAATTACAAGGGAGTCGTTACCGGCTAAATATCAGGAAAAACTTCCTAACTGTAAGAGTCGTTGAGCAGTGGAACAGTCTGCCTTAGGAGGTGGTGGATGCTCCTTTGCTGGATGTTTTCAAGCGAAGGCTGGACGACCATCTTTTGGGTATGATGTAGGGCTATCTTTCAGCTATGCTCCTGCAGAGTGCAGTGGGTTGGGCTAGATGACCTGCAAGGTCCCTTCCAACTCTAACATTCTATGATTTTATGATTAAAACAAATAGCAATATAGTATGAGCCAGTATTTATTGTGAAGGGGTGGAGAGGAATGGCCATAAGAAGGAAGAAAGAGAAAAAGAAGACAGTCATATTTGTTCTGGGTGGATATGGTGGGTGCACCAGGAGAGGAAAGATGAGTAGTTCAGTCTTAGACATACTGAGTTTGAGGAAATGTTTACACATCTAAGTGGCAGTGTTGGTTATACAATTGGAGCTGTGGGCTGGAGGTAGGGAGGGAAAAACATAAGAGCCCTGCTGGATCAGACTAGTGGTCCATCTGGTTCAGCCTTCTGGTTCATAACGTGTAACAAGTTACCAGGCCCATAGCCAGGAATTTTAATTCCGGGGGCCTTTAAATAAGTCAGGGGGCACCAGCACACACCCCTGCACACACACCCTAGGGAATGCCTGGGTTGGATGGGAAGTCGGGGGGGCTTGGCGGTAAGTCAGGTGGGCAGGCCCCGAGATGCCCCACTGTAGCTATGGGCCTGCAAGTTATTCTAGGAGACCACAACAGAGCATAGAGGTCAAGGCCTTTCCCTGGTGTTGCCTCTTAGTATCGGTAAATGAAAAAGTCTCGGTTTCTTTAGCCTTTTCTCCAATTCCTTAGTCATCTTGGTTCCCCTCTTTTGTGTTTTTTCCAAATCTGCAGTATCCCTTTTGAGATACAGTGACCAGAATCTCACACAGCATTCCAAATGAGACTATACCATAGATCTATATAAAGGCATTAAATATTGGCTGTTTTGTTTTCAGTGCTATTTCTTATAATCACCACCAGCATGGATTTTGCCTTTCTCACCACAATTGCACAATAAGTTGACATTTCCGTTGAGCTATTCTCCACAACCCTGGGATCTTTTTCCATCTTGATCTCAGCCAGTTTTGACCCCATCAGCATTTACGTAGGATTTTTTCCCCAGTGTGCATCACTTTACGCTTATCTATATTGAACTTCATTTGCTGTGTTGTTGCCTACTCACCCAACTGAGAAATCCTCCTGTAGCTCTTTACAGTTCACCTTGGTTTCCATCATCCTGAATAAAGTTCAAGAATTGTGAACCCAAGCTAGTTGTCATCACCATATAAGTTGTACTGAAAGCTATGGAACACTGTGGAATGAGAAAAAAACAGCCAAGAACAGATCTTTTGGGGAACTCTAGTGGAAGTAGGAAAAGCAAAAGAGGAGATTTTGTCCTATGGAAACATTGGATGAGTGATTAGACAGTTTGGAAGAGACCCAGCCGAAGACAGACTCACAGAAGTGACAGCTCCCAGATTTACCTGGGGCTGTTTTTGCAGCTGTGGGGCTGGGCAGCAAATGAAGGTGAAGGATTTTCCTTTTGGCTCTTCAGCGTAGTAAGCTAAGGCAACCAGACTCAACTGGGACTCAAGCAGCTAGTCATACCTGCTGAGGGAGGGGCAGAGCTTCCAGGGGTGGACCTTAAAAACAGAGTTTTCATTCTGGTCTGCCATCCAGTATTCAGGGAACCACAGCTCAGGCTGGCTGCACAGTCAGCTCCTGCTTCCCCTGCCTCCCCTACCCTTGGGTTTTGTGCTTTGCAGTGTATTTGGTATAGGGTTTAGTATGTGAGTATCTGTTGCATGCTAGCACAGCTTTTCTCAGGCAGTTTGGGCATTGGGCCAGATCCAGTTTTGGAGGATGAGCCTGTATACCTGCCTCCCCATTGTGGGGGCTGGTTCCTGACTCTGACCCTCAGGTGGCAAGGAAACCACACAGTGGTATGTGCCCATATGGGACCACTAGACTTGCTGTCCTGCGTTTGCTCCCCCAGCAGGTGGGCTTGGGGGATGGTTGGTCATCAGCCAACATGCAGGTTGCCTGATACTGGATCTATGTCCTGTGCTACACTGATGCTCCTATAATTGTACTCAATAAAACGTGTGGCATTTTTCCCTCCAATTCAACATGGTCTGCGGTTTGTTCTTCCCTTCCCCCTCCCTCCCTCCCGCTCCTCAGTCTGCAAACATAGGCCCTATAGGAAGTGAAATAGGACTGTTTCAAATATAAGAGAGATGTCAAGGAGGGTGAGAACAGAATAGAGAACATTGGATTTGTTAGTGAGAGATAAGTGATTTCAAGTAATGACATTTTCAGTGGCATTAAGAATATGTAATGAAGAAATAGAGAGGAACTGAGGAAGGGCAGAAATGGCAGGAGTAAACTTCATGGATTTGGAAGTGAAGGGTGTAACAACAATTGGGTGTTAGTTTGGAGAAGGAAGATGCATCAAGGGAAGGTTTTTTAGAAATTATACAAATTATGTTGTGTTTGAATTACAGTACGAAGGTAAGCCAGAGGAGAGTGATAAGGTTGAGTATGTAGTGGACAAATGCAAGAACCATGGAGGAAATGGCAACTAGACCTCATAAGCATATGGGATCACAGGGGTATGAAGTAGTTGGATAAGGTCATCAGGGTACAAGTAATCAACACATATATCTATCCATCTATCCATCCATCCATCTATCACTGCTCATACAGCTATCGGCTTAAGCAAAAGTTAGAATCCAAAATTATTTGAAAGATCTTACTCAATATTATTTCTCTTATATTTGATTATTGTGCCTATGAATTTTGCCACTGAGAGGGTGACATGATCATTTGTATCTGTTAGTAGCCATGATACCTGGGCTCGCACATTTAACAAATTCTGTTTTTTAAGTAAAGGGGTGACTAAAGTAGCCTTCAGCTCATTGAATATAGGACACTTCATAATCATATGTTCAGTGGTTTTGATTTTATCATATAAGCATCTGCATGTCCTATTAGAATATTGAACATGTCAAAAGTTTCAAATACCTCGGCATTCATTTTTACTATAACTCCAATTGGGCCATACACACCAGGGAAATGGAAAAATCTATCAATAGTACAGTTCTTGCAATTTCCTGTTTCTTCTTTACCAAAGGAAATTAGTATATTCCTGCAGCCCTTAAAGTATTTAACTATAAAATCCGTGCCAAATTGTTATGTGGTGACCCAGTCTGGATTGCTGCCTTCAACGCATTGATGGAACATGTTCAAGCTAAGTTCCTGAGGAAATTCTTAGGGCTCCCAGCGTGCGTATCTTATGCGGCCGTATGCTTGGAGTTGAATCAGAGATGGCTAGTTACAAAGGCTTCGATTATAAACATTAAATTTTGGCTACACCTCTATTTTATATGCGATCCTAACAGCCTCATTATACATATGTTTTCTGAATCTCATCTATCTGATTGGTTGAACTATAATGTGGAGAAAATTTCAGTAATTGGACTTAACTTTAATGACAAGGTTTTGCTCTCAGAGAAGTAGGTTTTTGCCTTGTTTAAGCAAAGACTTACTGATATTGAGATACAAGAATTGAAAAGCCTGGCTTTTGGTCGTTGTTCCCCAGTGCGTTGGGAGCTTTCATCTGGCCCTTCCCTTTCTGAATACCTATCTTGTTTGTGTGATCCTCATCTGCGTAGGGTGTTTATGTTAGCCCATTTTAATGTTCTCCCATCTATGGTGTTATATGGGAGATTTAATAAAATTCCATATATATAGATTGGTTGTGTCCACGTGGGATGAATGAGATTGAAGGTAACATTCATGTTATTTTGCACTGTAAATTTTATGATGATCGTGCTGTTTTTTTAAAGCCTTCCCTGCTACCTTTTGAGGGTCAATCCGAGGATCGTAAGACCTTTATACTTTTAGCCTCAAATAAGAGCGAAATCATTGAATCTGTAGCAAAATTTCTCTACCAGGCCTTTAGGAGGAGATGTTCTTTCTGACCACAGATTCCAGTGTATTTTATTTGGATTTGTGCTGTAATGCCAATAAAGGTCTCTGTGTGTGATACTCTATTACATCTGCCCTCCAAAACCGTCAAGGGAAGAATGTTCATTCTTGTCAAAGTAAAAACTCTTCTTAGTTTAAACATACTTCGGCAGTTGCATCAAGAGGGCAATTCTCAAATGAAGTGTTGAACATACCCTGGATGCCCTAATAGACGTACTTGTAACATCGAACTTCCTTACATATTTTTAAATTTGGCTTATAATGTCTTTAGTTTATGTATTCTTAATCATATCATTTGTTATTCCTGGGCAATTCATTTTCTTTTCCAAATAATCAACTCGTATTAAAGTAAAAAGAGGAAAGAAAGACGAACTGAAGGGGGTGTTGGTAGAGAAAGAGAATGATAGAAGCAGAGAGATGAAATGAGATCAGAGGATATTTTTATTATTGGAAAAGGAGGCAGAATGGTGACCGCAGTGCAAGGAAGAATAGTTAGTAGAGAATCAAAGATGAAGGTGCTGAAAATTTCAGGAGTTGGTGTGGATTAGAGAGTAGCATTGCTGCAAGTGGTAACACATCCTTTTAATTCTGTTTTTTATTATTCTCTTAATTGATTAGAGTTATACATAGAAAAAAATGTGCTGGATACTATGTACTGTGAAGGAGTTCACAGAAAGCATTCCTTCCCTCTTCTTCCTGCACCTCCCCCCTTGAAAAGCTGCTCTTAAGAACTGGTGGGTCCTTGGGAATAGTGTGGGATGTAGTATGGGGGGCTACAACAAAAAGTAGAAATTAGCAGAAATTTCACACACGAGATCGTGTTTCATTTGCAGGGGGTTGTGTGTGATTTCCCCCCCCCCTCCATGACACTGCATCTAGTTCTGCTTCTCAGTTCCCCTGATCCTTGGGACCTGCTTTGATGGGGATACAGGTGCTTCAGAGTGTACAGAAAGAGGGTGATCCATTCTGTATACATCCGCTCTTCATAGAATTGAACCCATCATAAGGAGGCATATTGTTTTAATAAGCCTTCCTTTTTTATGTTCCATCTTCAGCTTATGAGGGACTTTATTGGAAAGAATGTAGAGAATTAAGGCAGTAGTTAATTTCTCAGTGGCAATACTGTTTGAACACACTTTGTCTCCATATTTCCTTAAAGAATGAAAGCGTTCACTTTATGTGTGTTCCTGAATTCAACTTGCATACTCCTAGATAGCTGTAGGCAAGCCAGTCTCTCTTGACTTCCACCATCTGCAATATAAGGATAAAGATGAAATAAGAAGTACTTTGAATATTGAAACTACTGTGAACATTCTAAGTATTATACTTAATAAAATACCCATATCAATTCTTACATTCTTGGCCACTGCTGTTTCAACATACCTCCCTCCTCTTTTCTGGATATATGTCTAAAAATACATGCGGCAGTTTTTTTGGTAACTTTGTAATGCATTTGTCTTTGGTAAGTATTCAGTTAAGTCACTGACCTATCTCTTTGTGCCCCACCCTTTCATAGCAATATTAAGGATATCCACACAGTTCTTGAAGTGACAGTTTATGATGAAGATAGAGATCGGAGTGCTGACTTCCTGGGCAAAGTGGCTATTCCATTGCTGTCTGTGAGTTTTTTTTTAGAATATTTATTTACTTAATGCACTGCTCTGCATTGTTCATGCTCATAGGGAAAAAATCAGCCCTATGTCTGTCATTTCTCAGCCAAGGTCTGTAATAAGAACACTAAAAAATTTTAACATACTCAATTCACGGCCATGTTGAATCCCATGATAGTTAATTTTTCCTGACAGACTTGGTCCTGGTAATGAACAGGTACTTGTCAGAATTGCCACAGTTGTTTTGGGTTCTCTGTCAGTTTCAGCAGCTGGGGGTCAAAGGTCACTGAGGGAGTGTATTCAGTGGAGACTGCGAGACAGACGGCTGTCATGTCCTTTTCCCGCAGATTCAAAATGGTGAACAGAAAGCCTACGTCTTGAAAAACAAGCAGCTGACAGGGCCAACAAAGGGGGTCATCTATCTTGAAATAGATGTGATTTTTAATGCTGTAAGTCTTAACTTTGGCTTTTTTGTACTGCTAAAGCGTTTCAGTTTCATGAAAGCTTTTGTTCTGATTTGTAGAGAATTTCTGTCATTCCTTATTTTCTCTAAACCTTGATGTATACTGCAGATTCTTCTTCTGCCACTGGCTGAGACCTCACACTTTTGCACTTTGCTGCATCTGCTGCTAATGTATACTCAAGCATGAGTTTCTGTACCTTACAGTCTTGGCCTCATGACTTTCAACTGTTATAATTGTTCTAAATGGTATGTATATTGATAAAGTATTCAGTCTATAAACTGATGCTTATTCTGATGCACAGGTGAAAGCTAGCTTGCGAACATTAACACCCAAAGAACAGAAGTACATTGAAGAAGAAAACAGAATTTCTAAACAGGTAAAGTGGTGGAACTGACTAATTATTCTGAAAAGATCTGATAGCATTTGTAACCTTTTAACCATTTCTTTCTAGCCTTGATAGCAGAGAGCACATCTTACTTAAGCCCTTTGTGGGAAGAATGATGTGCATATTTTAGAGGAGGCAAAAGTTAAATCTTTACTCCCTCCTGCCACAGTTGTATTCCTGCAAATGAGAATCCAAGCTAAAGTTGCCAGTCTGCCCTCATGTATCCACTTGTAGTGCAGGTGGCTGTAAACTAAGTCTAGCGTAATTTTTGTGACTAACTTTGACCTGTAGATTAGGGAATGTATCAGCCTTTTGTTCTCCTAGTTTGAACTCTGATGCTTATTAGAATCTAATCCGAGGCAACCAAAAAATTCAGCTGTTCAAGACTGATTGACAGGGATCTTCTTCTCATGTATATTTACTGCTTACTGCTGGTAAATATTATAGCTGTTAACTATTCCAACACTATGAGCCTGCTGAATACTTTTTTCAGTTTTTTTAAAGTAATCCTACCACTAATCATGTTTTTTTCTTTCCAGGCTTGAAATTTGGGGTCACTGAAGAGTTAAATTTTAAATCACTTGATTTTTCAGGATCTCTTCCTATATTGATTTAATATTAAGTACAATTAACCACATTAAATATATCTTTCCTTTAAGTAAAGAGCTTTGTAAGCATCATAACTATCATAAAATAAGTAATCACTCTTTTTATAGCCAACAAGCAAGAGGGGATGTAATTCTGAATGTATAGGTATCACCTTTTAAAAGTCACTAGACTTATTTCCGGACAGATATCTAAAATGTTTATACTGCAAATTGATAAGCATTGCTAGCAACGAGGCTTCCCAGAAACACCAATTTCTTAAATGAAATATAAGTTTCAATAAAAGGCATGAGACCAGTATGACCCCTCTTCCCTCAAGAAAAGCTAGCCATTTGGAACATATTCTAAAAATAATATCATTTTCAAAGATCTTTTTAAAGTCTTTATAATATCAGCAACATTTCCTAAAAATAATCTGGGATGGCAAAATAAAAAAGAATAACAAAATTAAAACGCACACACATCAGCCAAAATGTGAATTTCATATGGGTAGCCATTGCAGCCTGTAGTAACAAAATAAACAGGAATCTCTTTTATGAGTCAGAGCTAACTTCCAATCCAAAAGTGTGAGAAAACAATAACAATTTCTTCTGGTGCCTGAAGTTCTGTAACTGGGCACCACAACAGAAAAAGCTGTGTCTCTGGTATTTATCCACTTACCTCCAAAGATGAGAGCACACCACCTCTAGTGCCAAGGGTGATTTTTTTTTGGGGGGGGGCTCATATGGAGTTAGCAGTCCTTCAGATTCTTTTGTCCCAGGCTAGTCAAGGCCTTCTATCTAATAACCAGCACTTTAAATTGTGATGGAAGCAAATCAACAGCTATTTAGATTTTTTTACAGCAACATATGTTGCCACTTCTTTTTATAGCAGTTGAAACTTCAAATGCAGGCCGAAATGGAACACATTAAACTAGTCTAACCTCTATGTGATTAGAGCGTGGATAACTGACAATTTTTCTAAAATCCTATCTTTTTGTATAAGAATCTCATTAAATGGAGTTGCTCTTAAAACATCAGATTCCTTGAATTAGTGAAATGAATACCACAATTTGTTGTCGAAGGCTTTCACGGCTGGAGTTCATTAGTTGCTGTAGATTTTCCAGGTTGTGTGGACAATGCCAAGACCATGGCCACACAACCCAGAAAATCTACAGCAACTAATACCACAATTCTGTTCTTGAACTAATTTTATGTGTTAATTTTACATAGGTAGATATGTCATAAGTAGATAGAGCCAATTGTTCATGAATTTTCACTAACAACTATTTCCAAAATTGACTAGGAGGCCAATATAAAAATTTCCATTTCTAAAAGTTGGATTGATGCATTAATAATGCAATCCTATGTAATGGTACTCCAGTCTAAGCCCACTGATATTTGCAATTTCACATTGTTAGTTTGGTTTTGACTTGCCCTGCACAAAGCTCAGAATTTATAATGATAATTATTTTCATTTTATACCACAGAGCTACTATAGAAACTTGTACTTGAGGTGGCTGGTAATCCTACTGATAGCCATTTCACATATTTATCCTATATACTTTATATAGCACATTTTTTTTTAATGTTCAGTTATGTTATTGGCATTCTTCATAGCTAGAATGCACAAATCAATCTAATACATTCTCTTATTTTGTTCAGCTTTTGCTAAGGAACTTCATTCGTATGAAGCGCTGTGTCATGGCCCTCATAAATGCTGCCTACTATGTAAACAGTTGCTTTGACTGGGATTCACCACCAAGGAGCCTTGCTGCTTTTTTGGTATGATATTTTATTCACTAATCCGGATTTTTAACCTAGTATATGTTGATGCAGATACAATGTTGGCATAGTCTTAGCATGAAAAACTTAATTATGTAGGTCTTTTAGTAATTATCAAATACATTTTAATAAAGTAGATTAGAAAAGTGCATTGCCAGAACTTTGCAAGGAAGAAAAGTTAATCCAAGAGTGAAATGAATAACCAGTAAGAGACTGGTAGAATTAGTCCTGTCAGCTCTTCCTAGAACTGGCATGTATCATCATTCAATGAAGTTCAAGGTGAAAGCACCATGATCCATTTGGCTCCCAGAAGCCTGATACAACCCAATTCTTCCCCATGAACTTCATTGTCCAATAAAAATTGTAATAAATCACCTTTTTGGTATGACATACTGCCCCTCCAAAATTGCTGCATCTTCTGGGACTAACGTTTTCTCAGTGTATTATCTATTTATCTTGCTGTTTCTTTGTGAACAAATGAGGCCATCACAGGTTCTGTTATTTCTTAATCTGCCCCCATTCTCTTCCCTATTCCTCTGTCATTTGCTGTAAATTGTGATAGTAATTGAATTTAGTTTCCATTTTAGACAAACTTTCTAGCCACTGTTGGGAAGTGTTACTGCTCTAGAGAGAAGCATTAAGAAATAAATCCATAGGTCATGAAGGTCAGCAGGTTGTTTAAATCAACAATGCCTGATTTTACAGTCTTAGATATATGGCAGTGGCATTCTACAAGTCCTGACAAAATGGGAATTTACAAAATGCAAGTTTTGGAGATTAAGAAATGATGTCAAATTTACTACAAGCTTATATAAGTTATAAGGGTGCCATTGTTGTTACTGTGTGATTGTTTCCCACACATGTGCAGGGCCTGTGATGTAATTACTCTGCCAGTGTTACCTGGGAAAGACAATGGGACACAACCATGTTATTGTTTCCTTCCATGTGGTCTCTTGATTCCTGGAGTGGCATAGAAAATAGCCATACAGAAGTAGCAAATACACTTCTATTTATTCTACTTATTTTGAAATCCACCTTGAGTCTCAAATGAGAAAGGCGAACTATAAAATAAATAAAATCACCTGTTTTAAAGAGATATAAAAGAGACATAAACTTTTCTTGAACTTGATCATGGAAACCCCAAGTCAACAAACATATTGATGTAGAAACAAATTCTGTGAGCTATTTCAAGAAATCCTTTTTGATTTTGTTGGGCCAGTTGACAAATGCATTTTCAGAACTTCAGAAGTATTCTGAGGCTGTCACTGGTTTCCTTAAATGCCACACATGAGCTAGTAACTACACTGTAGATGGCAATACTGCTTTGAAAGAAAATAAAATTATGTACTTTCTCTTATTTTAACTGTATTTGGTTAAATTGGAAGCCTTTTAAATCCTGTCAAAGATCTGTGAGCCATTTCTTGTGTGGCCTGATGTGTACCAAGGCTGTAATGAACATACAGGTCAGTGTCTATTCCCAGTCAGTAGTCCATTAAAACTGACAATCTCAGGGCCTTCAGTGCCTTGAATACACACACAAATTTATCCCCCCAATACAGTCTCATATTTGCTGTCTGACGCCTTATTGATCTATTTTGGAAGCCATTAGATAATTTTCTGTGATGTCACAGTTTTGCATTGTATACAGAGATGACATAGCCCATCTGGCTGCTCTTTTCTGATATCATACATCGGTTGGGCAGCATTAGATGAGGCAGCTGAGGGCTTAGGATGTCTTGTGAAAGAGCTGGTTTACAAGCTGATTTTTAACATTTAAACTTCATCATCATTATATGCTATAGTATGTTGAACAACAAATGGAGCAGATTTATTCAGTGGATTCAAAGCCTTGTAGCAGAGATGGATGATACTTGGCTTATATGAGTTTTTGCTTAAGCTTTGTCTTTTTTTAAGCCTCAGCCACCTAGAGTGGTCTCAGAGGACCACATAACATGTATAATTTTTATAACTCGAGTTCAATGTACATTTGCCCATTATGTATATTACTGAAACCAGAAGATCTTGGGAATGTGCCACAGCTAGAGCATTATAACATCAGATAGCAGTTCTTCACACAGTTCTGCAGTCCTAACTGTCTGTGAAGGATTGTAGACTAAATGAGTGCATCCTGATTATTAAGGAGACATAGAATATAAATAGCCTCTTAATATGCACAGTGCATGAAATTTAAATACTGATATCCTCTTGCCGTGGGACTGAAAAACAACTAATTATTTAGTGCTGTGGCCCCCTGTTATTTGCCATATCTCTTTTCCAATGTTAAATCATACAATAGATAAAAAGCAGCTTTAATATTTTATTTATAACACTGTTCTGTCACATCTTAAATGTACTACTTTTCCTTTGTTTCATACTTAAGTGTCCTTGTTTCTTGCTAAAATAAAACCTTTTGTGTTAATTCTATAGAATTTTAATATGTGACAGAATATTTTTATGAACATTAAAAGTATGGCAATCATACCCTATGCAAGAGTGGCAAGGATTGTCTTTGGAATAACCTAATGTAAAAGCTGAAATGTCTTATAAATCGGGTTTAATTTTCTTCAGGCTCTTGACTAGACGTTTATGCACTTGTGGATGTCGGAGGTGCAAGGGGAAGTAGGGCAGGGTAGGAGGGTGTGTATGCCATCTCTTTCGCGCACTGTCACTTCTTACTGTAATGAGCAGAAAAATAATTGGACAAGTAAGCTATCAGTAAAAGGACACACTTCAACATGAGTCAATGAATTATTTTACTAGGCACACTTTAATCTTTAAATATGATTGTGGATAATTTGTGGTACCATTTGTCCATTTTGAATTGTTTTAGCCTTTTCAGTTGTTATACAGTAAATGCTGCTGTGTTTAACATTAACATTTGATATTTTACACATTTAATTCCTGCACTGCTATATGGTCTTCAGGGAAATGTGCTCTAGTGCTACAAGAGAAAGACAAAGTATTGATCAGCTAACATTTCAGCTACATTTATGTATGTCGCAAAATTAATGAAAATGCCAGACAAAAATGTCAGAGTGCACAAAAAGGTAGAATTTAAATTTCTGTAGTTTAATGAAAAGTTTAAGATGAACATTATCAAGTGCCTGTTGGCCTTCAGTATTCAATTGGTAACACAGTAATTAAAGGGAAACATACATTTTACTTTGAAGATTAGATATTTTCTTAGAATTTCATGTTATCAGATGACTATTTAAAACAGATGACTATTTAAACAGTCTGATTGCTGGTTGGACTATTTTAAGCATTACCCATAATATAACACATTCTTTCTCATTTGGAAAAATAGTACAAATGTCCACATTTGCTTATGCAGTTAGGTGGAGACACACACACACACATGCACGCACACCTCATTTCTGCGTTACCAATATTCTTCTAAAAACTACTTTGGAACTACTTTGGAAAGGATTTATGTTAGCATGAGATCTTGAAAGTTTTAAGAAGAAACACCATTTTCCCACTTAATGACTAATATAAAGGTAAAGCTGGCTTTGAAGGTCTTACGTTTTCCTGCAAAATCTTGTCACAAGTATATAGATGTACACCCTTGGAAAATCTCAGACCCAGCTGAGCTCTGAGCAGGAGACAGAGGTGCTAGAGGATGAGTGGGTTTTTTTTACTTGCTTTCAACTGAGGGGATTCAGCTGAGGATATTGTGCAGGAGAACTGGTCTGGGACTGGTCTGGGAGTGTGTGAAAACGCTTGGAGTTGTTGCAGAGTCCTGGCTGCTTGAGAGAGGGAGAGGAAGGGGCATTGTTTGACTGTGATTGACTGTACTTTAGTATTTAAGAAACCACCTTGCCAGAGGCACGATCTGCCCACTGGGCAGAAGTCTTGGGTGTGTCCTCGGTGCAAGGAGCTCCTGGTTCTCAGGGAACGTGTGTGCTCCCTTGAGGCCAAGGTGGCTGACCTGGAGAAGCAGAGACAGTCAGCTAGGCACACAGAAAAGACTCTCGGGGACTTGTTAGCTTCGTCCCACTCTGGATCTGGCAGCCCCGCTGCTGTCAGGGAGCATGAGGGTCTAGGGGAAACAGGGCACCATGCTGAGGATAAGGGGAATGTGCCCTCAGAAGGGACCTCTTCCCCAGCTGGTGAGCGGCTCTCCTTTTGCACCAAGGAACCATCCCTGAGCAGGGTGGGAGGGGGGCTCTTGGTAGTGGGTGATTCGATCCTTAGGCAGGTAGACAGCTGGGTGGCGAACCCGCGTACTGACCGTATGGTGACTTGCCTGCCTGGTGCGAAGGTAGCGGACATTACGCGTGTTTTAGATAGGCTGGTAGATAGTGCTGGGGAGGAGCCAGTGGTCGTGGTGCATGTCGGCACCAACGATGTGGGGAAATGCAGTCGTGAGGTCCTGGAGGAGAAATTTAGGCTGCTGGGCAGGAAACTTAGGTCCAGGACCTCCAAGGTAGCCTTCTCAGAAGTGTTACCTGTTCCACGCGCAGGGCCGGAGAGACAGGCAGAGATCAGGAGTCTCAATGCGTGGATGAGACGATGGTGTAGGGGGGAAGGGTTCAGGTTTGTTAGGCACTGGGATACTTTTTGGAACAAGAGGGAGCTGTACAGGCGAGACGGTCTCCACTTGTCCCGAGAAGGAACCAGGCTGCTGGCACTTAAAATCAAAAAGGTGGCAGAGCAGCTTTTAAACTGAATATTGGGGGAAAGCCGACAGGAGATGAAAAGTCTCTGGTTCGGGTTGGCTCATCTGAGAGAGGTGAGGGGGTACCGGTTGCTTTTCTACAGGGAGGTGGATTGAAATTGTCCACAGAGGCCATGGCTGGTGACATGGACTGCCGGACAACGACTCGAGATAGCAAGAGGAAGGATGCAGGCTTAACTTGTAAGGGAAATTACAGCTGTTTCTATACAAATGCTAGAAGTGTCCGAGGTAAAATCGGGGAGTTGGAGTGCTTGGTGTCGGAGGGAAAAATAGACATTGTGGGTATTTCTGAAACTTGGTGGGATGAGGAAAATCAGTG